CTGGCTTGCAAGCTGCGAAGAAGGCGCTCGTGGGGTTCGCTTCATGGATCGCCTGGACAATAATGCCCACTGTTCGTCCAAATGAAGCGCCGACAGCCATTGACGGGACGAAAATTCCAGCAGGCACTTTGCAGCCATACGAGATGATGACGAGGAGAACCCTCAGAATCGTTGCCAGAGCCAGCGACAGAATGTTGGAAAGCTTCTTGTCCGGCTCGCATAAGCCGTGGTAGTCTTCGCCGCCTTCGCACTCTAGGAACAAGATCTCCATGCTTTCCGTCATGTCGATCCTGAGAAACACATTGGGGTAGCAAATAATTGCCGTCGCGGCAGCCAGAATCGTCGCCTCGGCGATGGCGTATTTAGTGAGGTACTTCTTTCTGAAAGCCTGAGCCCGCAGATTCCACTTGATGACAAAAGCGCCGTAGAGACCACCAAATATTCCCAAAATGATGTAGAACACCACCTCGAAGAAGTGCCAAGAGCGGTCATAGTGAACCTGGAACATGACAAGCTGTCCCGTCCTAAAGGGGTTCATGGCCGCAAGGACAGCTGTCGCTACCAAGGCACAAAAGTAACTGCGCCAGAGCGTCTTCAATGGAAAGTAGCTCGACATCTCCTCCAGAGAGAAGAGCACTCCACCAATGGGACTGCCGAAGGCGACGGCGACACCCGCCGCGGCGCAAGCACTCAGGATCTCCCGGGTCTTGGCGGCGTTGCGACGGTATTTGTCAAACAATCGCGAGATAACGTTTCCGGTACACACGGCGTAGTGCACGCTGGGCCCTTCCTTTCCGACCGACAGACCAGATGCGATGGCCAAAGGCAGACAGACGGACTTGATCAGAAGGGTCCAGAACCCCAAGAACCCCTTCATGACGAAGCCTGCGATGATGCACTTGATCTCCGATATGCCCGAGCCCGCCGCATACGGAGCAAATGACTTGACGAGTGTCGCCGACGTGAACGCAAAAACCGTGCCGAAGATGATGTAAAGAAGGTAGTTGACAGGGCCGAAGCCCGTCCACTTGTGCCACTCAGCGCAACCGTTGTCCTCGCCCCAGCAGCAGAAGTTCTCATTCAGGTAGAAGGCCGTCGTGCAGTAGCCCATCTTGATATCGGAGAGCCACTCGGTGATGATGTTGAGGAAGGCAGCATTGAGGCCGATCGTGATGCCTATCAGAGTAACCACGAGCCAGCCCTGCGCAGCGTCGTAGCTCTCGCGAAGCCGGTACCTCCACCCAGCCTGGCCGGTGTCGAGCATGCCCGCGCGTCGCCGGCGTCGCAGTTTCCTTCTCGCCTGCTCTCGGGCGGCATCCTGAACCCAATCTATAGTGGTGAAGTCCTCGTAGCGCTTGATCTCGGCGATCTCCTCCTCGATCTGCTGCTGCTGCTGCCGCGGGCCGGGTGCGGCCTCGCCTGCCTCGTTCTGCTCTTCGTCATCGTCGCTCTGCTCCGCGTTCGACACGGCAAACGAGAGCCTCGATGTGATGGAAGGGCGCGGGAGCCGGTGAGGGCTGTGGGAGAAGGATGTGGTTCGTGAAGTCATTGTCGGCTGGGCAGCGGCGGCGGCGCACTGCTCATGTTCGCGACAGCGAGGCAAATTGGGCGCAAGGTGGTGATTCTTCTGGGCGACCTGTGCCCTCGTTCGAACGTCGCCCGTGGGAATGCTTCTTCGGTTCGGTGATGATTCGACAGGGAAGGGGGCCTGGTGTAGGTAGTTTGCGATCGGTATCTGTAGTCTGTCCTGAGCTTGCTGATCTCTGGGGAATCCCCAATGCAGGTTGCGGGCAATGCTGCTGCAATGGTGGTTGCGCTGGAACCGGCGCCGGGGATGGGGGGTTCCAATGATGGTAGGCTGGGGTCGACTGGGTCGACTGGGTCCCCCCTGCAATTGGTGCTTAAGCTTTGCGGCTTGGCTGCGGGCAGCGGTTCAAACCAGCGCGTTGTCAGTGGTCGCGTCTCACTGGCCTTTTTTTGGCGCGACTCTATCAAAAGTGAGCCTCTCCTTGACGACCACCTTGGCGAAGACATCTCACTTAACGACGAACTCGGCGACTCTACCACGACGGCTGCCTCAAACACAGAGAAATTGGACACTTGAGGGTACAATATCATCATTGATTGACTGCACAAGAGATCTCAAGCCCGATCAAGCCCCCTTTTGCCTCGCCATCCTCGGCAGGCATAGACACCGAGTCTTGGGACAGGTTGGTGACTCCTATTCCATTTCTCCCCATCCGGCCTCTGCAGCTGCGAAAATACCAATGTTGAGCCGATGCCCTCACGAGCAACTTTTTCTGAGGCGTTTTCACTTAAAACAACCGTCTGGGGTCTACTTATAAAAGCTTCGGGAAGTGTGTCTTGAGATCTCACTTCCAGCTTGAGGCATTGTCACTCAGATCATCGCTTCTATACCACAGCTAAGAGTCTCTCACTGACTCTCATACAGACTCAGGTCTTTCAACCTCTCACACAATCAGCCTCCACACCCAAATATCAAAGATGCCTTACAACACCAACGCCATCCCTCCAAGAAAGGAGGTAACAGGCCAGCCGGCTCTACCTCGTATGCTGCCCTCTCACTAAGCTCTCCTCGAATCAGTCCACCTGACAATCTCACAGTGGCCCGCGTGAAGAAGATCATCGCCACAGACCCAGACATTGGCATCTGCTCTAACAATGCCGCCTTCGTGATCACACTCGCAACAGTAAATCCCCCCACTTCTCCAGAGCGAACCCTCACTCACAAGTCTCACAGGAGATGTTCATCCAATACCTCGCCAACGAGGGCCAGAACATGGCCAAGATGGACCGCAAACCCCGCCGCAACGTCCAGTACAAGGATCTCGGTAAGCTTCTTCTCTTCCTGTCCCCTTTTCTCACAGAAAGACGAAACTAAAACCGCCGCCCCTGTAGCAAACGCCGTCAACCACCACGACAACCTCGAATTCCTCGAGGACGTCATCCCAAAGACCATCCCCTACAAGAAGATCAAAGACCAAGCCGCAATCTCCCGCGCGAACCCCAGAAAGGCCGACTCGGAACCTAAGAAGCGCCAGTCCACCAACGGCGTCAACGGGACCGCTGCTGGCCCCGCTGTCGCCGCTGCTGCTATGCAGGATGACGACCCCAACGCCCAGCTTGAGGCCGAGGCCCGCCAGGCTGACGGCGACGTCGATATGACCGGTTGAAACCGTTTCTTGCCTGCCTCGAGGACATGAACCCCCTGATCATCCGCCGAAATAATGGCCAAAGGGGTTTTTAGAATTAATCAGACCAAAATCACATATAACCACACACCCCCAGCACCATCAAATTAGGTAGCACATAGCCTCTTAACGAAGTGTACGAATACCAAATCGACCTTTTTTCTCTTTTTCTGCATCCATAGCACGGATACGCATCAAGGTGAAACTGAAACCTCTCTTTTTGTTCGTAATAACGCCAGTCCATGAGAAAAATAAAGCATCGTCTCGCCTGTGACCTTTCCTCCAGCTCAACCCTCCATGGTAGCATCTCCATCGAGGTGTACTCCCGCAGGGATGGTCCCTTCCGTCAGCATCTTCTCCAGACGGATAATCTCCTGCAGACTGTCCGCCTTCTTGATCATCTCCTTCAGCCGCTCCTTCTCCTTGTCCGTGAGCTTTATCCTCGAGAGCTTCGACGGGGCCGCCGCGCCGTTCGCCGCGGAAACCTCGAGCGTCTTGGACTTGATGCCCATGATCTGCCGTAAAGCGAATCCTCCACATTAGTCTTTCTGTTCTTTGAATGTTCGAGAGAGAAATAGAAGAAGAAAACATACCTTGGAAGCCAAAGCAGAAGGCTCCTCTGCCGTGCCAAACAGCTCCCTCGCCTTCTCCCTCTCCGCCTCCTTGACCTTGCCGTAGTCCAGGAACCGCACCGTCGGGCACCGCCACACGACCCAGTACCGGTAGTTCTCCCTCTTCGTGACCGGGTTGTCCGCCAGCACCAGGTGCGTCAGCCGCTTGAAGCCGGCCAGCGCGTCCAGGTCCGCAAGCTCCGCCAGGTTGTTCGCCGCGAGCACCAGCTGCTGCAGGTTCGGGATCGCGTTGGGCAGCGTCGGCTGTATGCTCGACACGCGGTTGCGCGCCAGCAGCAGCGTCGAGATGCGCGGCGACAGCGGGAAGTTGCCCAGCACCTGGATGTCGTTGTCTGTGAAGTCGATGGAGTCGTGGGGCTGTTTTCCTCGAGAGTCAGCAAGACAGATTCGCCCAGTTGTCGGCATGCAGCCCTCCGCAGAGAGCAAACGCACCCGCCCTTTGAGAAGGAAGGAGGAGAAAGGAAAGAACTCACGCCAGCAACACCCAAATTCTCAATCGCCGGGATTCGATGTCCTACACAAACCCTCATCCGGGCCCCGCTATCAATTCTGTTCCTCTATAGCTCATTTATCATGAGTAGTGTAGCATCTGCTCTTTTCACGCACCTCGGAGATCTAGCTCACGCTCCTTGAGCGGGTTCAGGTAGGAAAGCGAGTCCCTGATGAGCTCCGCCGTGAGCCTCATCTTGGGCTGTTGTTACCTCGGGTTATGATGGGTGGTTTTTGAGTGTGTGGCGCTGTTGCGAAGAATTCGGTTTAGGTACGGTGCGATAATTTGTCGTCGTGTACAAAGGAATCGCCGTCGTGTGTTCGAGATGTGCAGGTGTTTTTGCGCCGTCGCAATTGGGTTGTCGCGTGGGTGTCGTGACGAACAGGCAAGGCTGAAAAGTTGGCGGTCGACAAGGCGGCTATCCACAAAATTTGGCCGGCCGTCTGATAAGAGCTATCATCCCCGCCTGGACATACAGTGTTCATCTGGTGTATATACACAGTAAAGTCCCTCTAAACAGCAGCTGTCGCACAGTGCCTGTAACAACATCGCTTTCCCGTCCTCTGAAGGTACCTAAGATGTGAAGAAAACATTCTATCTCATATTCATTATGTATTTTAAGGTATCTATGCCAATGATTCCAAGTTAACGCCCTCGCGTGTACCATCACGAAAAAACAAAAACCACCCCAGACCTGTCCACTGACAGAGTCATGCTGTAAGGCAACTCCAGTAGCGCCACATCCATAATCGAATCCAAGTGAGATCGCAGCAGCTGCTGATGTTGAAGAGATATAACTGTAGAGCGCGTTGGTCTTCCGCCGGTGACCTTCCCCTTCGTTCCGCCCGCCGCGTTGGATGCTGTCGCATTCTGCCTCGGAATCCTTTCCGTGTTCAGAGTCATGGATGTTGTCGGGTGTGAGGCCGCAAACGTAGGCCTTGGGTCGTCAACTTGCAACCCGCTGTACACCGTAGAGCTTTCGATGCGGGAAAGATCCCAGAACCTGAGCTTCTTGTCTGATCCGCCGGTGACGATGAAGGCATGTCGCACATCTCGCGAGTCGTCAGTGGCGCCTGTGCCTGCGATCATGGCACGAACACCGCGGTCCGCGTTTCCACTTCCACTCGTCTCGATGTTGGTCGCAAACCGGCCCAGCATGCCCTCAGGCTTGTCTTCGTCCACTTCCCATGGCTCGTATCCCTTTGGCCCTTCCTTGTTGCCACCGACCCGATAGATCTCTCTGCAAATTGTGCGTTCAAGATCCCAAACTGTAACTTCACCCTGACCCGTCCCGCCAGCGACACAGACCCATTTACCTCGTCCCTTGCTAGGATGTATGCACAACCGGTAGATCGAACTCTTGCCGGGTACACCCCAGCCCTTGAGCCTCATACGGAATCTCAAGTCCCAGAGGTCGAGAACGCCATGTGTAGTTCCTACGCACAGCCAGTTTCTCTTGCGATCCACGCAGAAGCATGTAGGAGTCCCATGATGAACAGGGTTTTCTAGCGTGTAAAGCAAATTCATTGTCCGAAGATCAATGCCTAAGATGCGTGACCGGTTTGTCGCCAGCAGTAAAACTGAGGTACTGTCGATCTTAAAGTGCTCACACCATACGGCGTGTTCATCCTTGGGAAGCTGATACTCTCGGAGAAGACGTAATTTCCCGTACCGCAGTACTCCGCTGGCCGATACAGTCTCGACCTTGACAATGTGTACACTGCCGTCGCTTGCACAGCTGATGAAGCAATGCGTGTTCTCGATGAAGCACAACGCAAGAACTCTAGCTCCTTCCGCGTGCTTATGTGTCTGTCTCGACCGGTGCGTGATGTTCTTCTCAAGCCGGGCACTATCCCAGACCTTGACATTACCATCATCGCCACCGGTAACGAAGAACACATGGTCTGGAGACGCCACGATGCGGTTGATCGCACCAGTATGCTCTGCAAAAGTAGCAACCATGCGGCCACTTGGTCGCCAGGGGTCATCACCAGACTGGCCAACAGACCGGTTTGGCTTGCGACGAGTAATGGGAGTGACCATAGGCCCAAATTCGGCGATGTCGTGGGGGTAGTTGTCTTGGTACATCGAATCTAGCATCTTGAGAATGCTGGGGTCGGATCCCTCATAAGAGTGATTCGGCCTCAACTTCGTTACGACGCTAGTAGTACTGGTCCGGCGATCCTGCATGTCGGGCCGGACAAGTGGCGCCTGGGCAAAAGGTCCTTCCACTTCCCCGAAAGCATTGGTGCCAGACATGCCAGTCTCGGGTATGCTTTTGTTGCCATCCTTACGATCCAGCAAGCTCAAGGCGCTCGATTGATGTCGGATTGCCCTCCGGATTGCGTAAGGCTGATCGTGAACCGAAGCGCTGTCATCCGTCGGGCTTCCTACTGTGAGCTTGCCTTGGCCGGTTGACGAGCGTCTCGATGGGTCAATTGATCTGACGCGCGATACGTCCCGTGATGAAGAGCCTTGGTCTTCCACCACGCGCGTGCGCAGACTATTGAGGGCTGCAAACTTCCGTTTGCCTGTGGAATCGTCGATAGTCATAGAAGCGTCCAATAGAGCGTCGGCAATTGTGTAAGGGCCCCTTTGATCTACATCGGGTTGGAATGTAGACTGCTGCAGCGGCTCCTCGTCGAAGAAGACTGTCTGCGGCGTGAGGCCGAGGCTCTTGAGGGAGATTACCTCGTTCAACTTGGCTGGGTCTCGATCGACGCCGTCTCTTGATTTCATCTTGCTAACTCGGTAGATGAACTCCCGTAACGCAAGGAGCTTGAACTCATCATCTGGCCCGAGACCGAGGTTTCGGAGTCGGTCAAGCCACTGCTCGTCCTCATCATTTTTCGAAACCTTGCTGAGCGTGTCCTTAGATGCTCGGCCAGTGATGGTCTTCGGGAGAGATCCATAAGAGAACGATCGAATCTGCTGCGATAATTTCCAGAATACGCCCTTATCCGTTTTAAGCGCCCACATCAAGGCCTGGTCGAAGACAGCTCTTGACATGGGTCGCTTCAGAGCGTCTAGAAGTGCAAGCTCGGCAAACTCGGGCACCATTCCCGTTTTGAGGTATTGCTTGACCATGGGAAAGACGATACACCTGACATCTGCCGGAGACAGAAAGCGCGTGGCTTCAGATAGAAACTCTGTGGCAGATTCTCGGATCCAGACATTCGGGTGCATCGTAAAGCGTACGACCACATCGATAAGCTCCCACATCTTCGTCTTTGAAAGCAGGCCCAGCCTCGCCAATTGTGCTAAAGAATGGAGAGCCGCCTGGACGACGAATTCTTCTGGATCAGTCAAAGCCTGAACCATGAGAGGTAGCATGAACTCCTCCAGACTGACGCTGCCCACCAGACTAGCGATGCTGACTATAGTCTCGAAGAAGGCGCACTTCAGCATCCAGTCGCGGTCGTTCAAGTAGGTGTTGAGATGTGTGAGAAGAATATCATTAGCCTCCGCTGGGCCGAAAAAGAGGCACAGATTGGGCACTGAGGTCAAAAATGCTCTGCGAACAGACACATCTGGGTCCTCAACCAGGGCTTTTGTGTGTAGCTCGAACATCTCATAGAGCTCCCTCTGGGCATCGTCGAAGAGGCCATCAAAGGCAGCCTCAGCCTCGATTCCAGGTTCAAGCTCGGGGTCGGCGACAGTCAGGGTGCCATCCGCCTTCAATGTTGCTGCCAACTCCAGGAATCGTGCGGCAGTGTTTGCAAGACTCCCCAAACATGATGCATAGGTGGCTCTCACTAACGGGCTTGGTATGTTTGCATTTGCGACGATGGCGCCCTGCAACCTAGGCAGGATGTACTCGACGAAAATGTGTGAGTTGACAGGAGAGACGACCCGTACGAGCTGCAGAAGCTGAGTGACGGAACGAAGACCCGCGATAACCACAAGATCGGACTTATCATTAAGAAGCGTCATGAGGTATGGCAGTACTCGATCCAGCTTTGCTTCGTCCGTGATTCTCTCGGAAAAGGCAAGCAAAACATCGCAGGCCCTGATCTTTGACGCCGCTCTCGCCGTATTTCGGAGAGATGATACGATCAGCGTCAAGAATATGAGCGTCCCGTCGTCTTCTGGAGGATCCGATGCCCCCGTGATGTAATTTTCGTGGTTGGGTATGTTGAGGCGTATCGGGAAATGGCCCAGTCCAAGATTCCCGGCTAAGGGCTCAATCTGCGTTGAGCGCTTTTCGTTCTGGTAGCCAAGAAAGTAGGAGATCTTATCAAAGTCGAGGAAGACACGATCGATGCGGTCGTCGGCCTCGCCCAAATTCCTTGTCGCACCAGAGATGGGGTTGTTCCCGGATGACGGGTCTGTGATGAGCTCCATGTATTGATGGAGAAAGTTATAAAAGTACTCGGGGAATACCTTCTTCTTCCAGAAATCCAAGTACTGCTCTGCCGAGTATCGCCGCTCCGGATCTAGTTGAATCATGTGCGAGATCATGTCGCGCAAGTCCTTGTCTGGAATGCGACTGATCTGGGAGATGACCGGATCGTACTCGCCCTTGCGATACTTATACAGCTGGCTGAGCGTGAAGATCGGCGACTCAAGAAACATTTCTGCAATGACGCAGCCGGCGCTGAAGACATCCATGGCCCACGTGAGCTTCGCGTCCTTGCTGTCAACCTCGTCGGCCGGGACGAATCGTTCCGGGGCGACGTAGCACGTTCGCCTCCCAGAGGTATCAAAATAGTATGAGAAATCCCCGGGGTTATCATCCGGAAGCATGATAGGTTTGAAAGGGGAGGAGAAGTCGGACAAGTAGAGCCAGTTCCACGACGTCACCAGCGTGTTCTCGGTCTTGATATCGCCATGGTAGATGTCTCGTGCGTGGCAGTCGCGCAAGGCGCAAAGCAGCTGGAAGGCCAGCCATTTCTTCTCGATGTCTTCCAGAAACGGTCGGGTGCTCATTCGATCGTATAGGGAGTTGTAAAGGAACTGTCGGACGACGTAACCGTTCGTCTCGGTTTCGACGATGCGTTGGAAGCCCAAGGCGTTGGGCACATCGGCCAGAGCAGTGCGCTGCTCTGTATCAGGTCAGCCATGAAGCTTAACGTCGAGCGAACGGCGACCGGTCACTCACTTTCAATATCGCGCTTGTACTTCTCCAGAGGCATCGGGGTGTATGGCTTCACCAAGACCTTGACCAGGGCGACCCCATCATGGTGCCTGGCGCGGATGCTCTTCATGAAGCGCGCATTGCCGATGCTCTTCTCATACACGAGATCGGAGAGCTCGGGAATGTCGATCCCCGCCGAGCCCGCGGAGGGCGTTGCGAGAGAGAAGCCTTGACCCATCTCGGGTCAGCAGTAGCTCCAGAGCTACGATACCTATTCGACTGCTTGTTCGTCGCTGCGGGAGCTTGTCATGTTGGAACAGCCAGATGGGTAATGCGTGTTGGCATTAGACTCCCGGAGTTGGTTCGTTGGTTTCGTTCAGGTCTTGGTCGGAACTGCAGTCGAAGGTTGCGCGGTGAAGTTGCTTCGTAGCTGCGAAGCAATCACGGGTGCGATTAGGTCACCATCCAAGGTTCAGCAAGGTGTTAAACAATCAGTGGAGACGTCGGTGTCCCGCTGTCTAAACCTCCGACCAGGGGAGGACCGCGGGGGCAGTTGAGGTTCTGGTCCGTGCGCTGTTGGCCCTTCCCCGATTCGGCCGAGCTCCATCAATCTCTGTGTAGGTGTGGTAGGTGGTTCTACAAATTGTAGTCACGAGCGTGACGTTGAACGAGAAGCATACACGCGGAGCTCGTTTTCATCCTACAAGTTTTCAATCTGCAGAGCTTCTGCATTATATTCGATTCTATATCATTTTTTTCCCTGCGACCACGTGTAACTTGCGCAGGGACAATTTGATTGGAAAGCAACCAGCCCGTCTCGATCTAATGTCAACCTCGCTAACAAGCTCAAATCCAGAGAGACTATAGGAATAAGAAAATAGACTAGATCTTCGTGAGCAAAGTGACGTCAAAAAACCTCGAATAAAATTCAAACGCAGGCCATATTTATCATATCGATAGCAAGGTCAAAGATGCCATTACGAGACGTTATCTTAAGAACGCTGTGCACAGCTATTGTTCTGATCCCATGTGCAATACGAAAACGGACCAATTTGTCAAGTAACTCGCATGCACATGAATGATACGTAGGCTCATATCTAAGCAACCTTCATTCAACCTGACAGAACGTTGTCCACAAGCAGTCACACACACCACCCTACCTTACCGTATGTTACCTTACCGTCACATCGATCGCATCGCACTCACACAAAACCACCACACGCCTCAGCTACTCACCAAACCAACACTCACAGCACATATAATTGGGCCGCATCCAAACCACCATCACCACAGCCCAAGTAAACCTGTGACCCCCGCCCGTCAAGCAATATAGATGGCACATGTCAGATCTGCCCGCCAATGTTCAAAAGAACAACCCCCACGCAAAGTGCTGCCCACCTCGCGGAGAAAACCAAAAACACACACAACACGCAGAGCGGAGACAGCAGCACGACAAAACAGGGCCCCCGACATCACCGGGAGGCCGCCGTACCGTGGTCTCGGCGTTTGACCCTAATCCATCCATCCCCAACCAACCAGCCCAGCCGCGCAAACGGCAACGAAACCAGGAAACCAATCTCACCTCCACGCACAACATTTCAATATCAGGAAGATTACTCCGGCCGTGATATTGGCCGTTCCCCAGAATAAGCGTAACCCTTCCGCGAGGCTGCAGCAAGATCACGAAACACAGCTCCCTCGCTTACGTAGCTATCTGACATCTTTGAATCCATTCAGCCCCCCGTGTGCTGGGGTCGGTCAATCTGTACAACTCTAAGCGCGATGCGATTCATGGCAGGTTTGTTGGTGTTGCCCAATCTGGATGGTGGTAGTGGTTCGTCCGAAGAATACCGCATTGCCCACGATGCCCATGTCGAGAACGTCAAGATCTGAGTCTCTCAAGTCTCACATCCAAACTCAACCCGGAGCTCGCTTCACCGCTGGCAGGCTGCTGTATCAAACATGGTCAAGAGTGATCCGACACTTTTATATCACCTGGTTCGAGCACTATCACAACGGACTAAGAGCTGAAAGAAGCTGCCCATGCGCGCGTGACTTCATCGGTTTCAGCCCCTCGATGCGGATGAAACCACTCAGGGTAGTATCGGCGGCACAGACTTTGCAGACGAAGATCTGCATGCTCTTCATCAACCCCACAGCGGGAAACAAGATAGCTTAGAGAATCCTCTTTGATATTTGAGCTAAGTAAATGGGTTGGCCATCTGGTAGGACACAGGATTAAGCCTTAGTGATGTTGTGATGATAAGTGTCGCAGGATAGGTTTCGCGCCTCAAAGGCGGGCGGCGAAAACATGTTTGTGGTCCCTAAGATCTGTTCCACCACCCGTTCCATCTGCACTTGCCCAAAGAGGTCACCATTAGATCGCAGAGGCCCTCCCCGACCCCTGTCTCAACAAACCCCATTCTTCGTCAGCGCCCCTGGGTATACTTGAAAACTTGGTCGAAGCGAAAGGGGAGGGCGTGCGTGGTCGTCGTAAGTGATTAGGATCGCGTATCTTCATCTCGTCAGAACTCCTCGCATTCGGTGTTGGCGTAGTGTCGCCAAGCTTCCGTGCTGCCGTGATCGTCTGAGGCGAATCCGCGTCGAAGAGAAATAAGTCGCTCGTCTAGGACTGAAGACATTAGGCGTGTCGTTACGAAAATGCAGTTTTCTCGTGTCTATGTTGCGAAAAGAGGCACCGAGGGATCGAGGTGGCTGTTACTCGTGATATCGTAATGTACGATTCATTAAGAGCTGCGCCTGTAAGATTCGCCTCGAGGTTTTCTCCGATGTCTGGGCCTCGGGTATTGTGCTGAAATACGTCGAAGTCAATGCTGGAAGAGAGTCCGAACGCCGTAGCCAATGCCGAAATTACAGCCGTCGCGTAGATGTATACAAAAGTTGTGTATATTCACATCTCAGGAAAAGGCGGAATGTCCTTGATGGGCGCTGGAGCCTTCAGTCGACACATCGCCTTCGATGGTCTTCCTCCAGTGCTCCGGCAGGCACACGCAAACAAGGGGGAACGCCTTGATCTCACCGCTGACTGGTGGTGATGAGTCACGACGACCCGATGTGTTTGATACACCACTGTCGCGTTGTGCCTGTCTTCGGGCTTCCCATTCGTTGGCGTGTTCATCCAGTAAGATTCCGGTAGCCCAGCCGTCGTCCCAGATACCAACGACCTTGAGCATGTCGCCACGCTCAAGAGTGAACTCATCTGGAGCACGAGGTGAGTAAGCCCATAGGGTGGCGACTCTATCGCCTGGGTGGATGTCGTCTTGTGAATAGTAATCCTTGAAGAATGGCAGCTGCTCTGACTGCTGGCTAGCCATGCCTTGTGGTGACGACATGCCAGCACTGGTCGGTGATTGAGGGTCGTTCATACCAGTGAGGACCGAGCTGCTCGACAACGATCCCGTTCTCCTGATGTTAGTAGGAGGGGGTCGCAAGACACCAGCTCTAACCTCTGACTCAGGACTATCCCCGAACTCAGAGGAAGACGGATCGTCGCCTCTCCTTCTGCCAGCCATGTAGGCAGCTCCGCCGGCAGCGGCTGCTGCCATGGGGGCGTTGCCACGGCTAACAGGTGGTGCAGGATCCGAAGCACTCTCCAAGGCTGACATGCGTGCGATGCGACCTCCGGGGAGGACTTCGTATCCAGTCGTGGTCTGCGTCGGCGGGATCTTAACGGTCGACGGCCCTTGCCTAGATGGTGCCGGCTGATTAAAGATGCTTCCCTTCTGGCTTCCCCGTCTGCGTCTCCTAGCAAGCAGAATACAGGCGTAGATGAGTCCAGCGAGCAAAAGCGCACCAGCTACGCTACCGATAACAATGCCGGCAATGGCGCCGCCCGACAAACCGCCTCCTGCTGCAGGAGTACTCGTGGAGGTTGGTGATGCCGTTGCCGTCGGGGGAGTAAAAGTCATGGTGGGAAAGATGGACGGGAGGACGACGCCCTTGCAGCGCTCATCGACATTCGAGTTGTAGCAGCACGTGTCGGTCGAGTTAATACCGCCAGATGCGCAATACGAGCAAAGCCCGACGGTGCTGTTGCCGTAACCACAGTTCTCCTTCTCATTAGCGATGCCTTGAATACAATTAGACGACGACAACGAGCCGGCGGGGAGAGCGCAGTTGGTGAAGTCCGCACGAATCTGGCTGACCAGGTTGCTGCCCGGGTTGCTGCAGAGACTGCTATCGGAGGTGAGGAGTGCTTCGCTTTGCGCGTATTCAGCCTGTTGGATCGTGAGCGATTGTCTTTTCTGCCAGATTCAAATGACGCACGCATGTGTCGGCGCAAACCGGTCTGGAGTTGGCTGCAGTGAGGTTGCAGGCATCTATTGAGTTTTGAACGATGGCGTTGCAGATGACTGTTGTCGTGAAGCGGGCATACAGCTCGGTTGAGTTGGTGAGATTAACATTGCTGCAACCAAGTAATGTCTGGTATCTGTCATAGTGTAAGCCAATCGTTGCTCAGCCGTGTCGCATTCACCGACATGAACCTACTTTTCCCGGACGTATGATGTCTGGACATACGACTGCAACTGGCTGTCGAATGTTTCTCTGCTGGAAACATATTGAAGGAAAGGGCTGCCAGAACCAATGAGCACAAATCATACGGGTATCCTTTGGAGTTGACGTACAAAATTCCCTGTACGAAGCCTGTTGTCGAAACGGAGGCTGATTGGAAGGCGGAGCATTGTGTTGAACCCTCCAACGAGACACAACTACTGGACTGCGCCGAGACTAATGTCGCGGTGGACAGCACCGACATAAGCGCCTTTGCTACGGGGCCCATGGCTCGTCCTCGTCGACTCGTGTGGACTTCCTTTCCGTGCTTTGATGAAGTCATGGTCGCGTCGTTGCTGGCCACCGAGCGAGGTGGCTGGAAAACAGTGATAGGTTGGAACTGCGCCTATTTCATGACTGTCTTCCTGGGTCCTAATGGTTGCGGTCCATGCAGTTTGAGGTTGTCGCGAATGATCGGCAATTAAAGTAAAGATTGCTTGTCGCTGAGAGATGCTTGGCGAGTGATAGTCGTAACCAAAAAAGCTCTCGAGCTGTGAATTGGAGCGATGAGAATGGCGGATCGTATTCGCGAGCTGTTGTCGAGGAGAAAACGGGGGCTACAGCGGAGGTGGACGGCGAGCATCAATTGACGGGTGGGACGAGCGGAGGCCGAGGAAGGTGAGGGTCCGGGTCGTGGTTGAGGGACTGATTCGAGGCCGAAGAAAAAGTCGTCGCTGTCGGTTCCCAATTCGTTCGTTCGTGAGGAAGGAGGTTGGGTGATTGAGGGGGTGGTGGAGTTTTTGTTGTTTTTTGGGCAAGTAGATACGGTAGGTAGGTAGGTACTCGGGGAACCGCACCAACAGGTTGAGGCAGGTAAGGTAGGTGGTAAATAGACTGAACGAGGGTGAGTGAACGGAAAATAGGGAAAAAATAACAAGCTGTTTAGGTAGGTCTACTATTAGGGGTGGGATGCAGTTAAGCTCCGAGGTAAGGCAAGCCGACGTGTCGATGTCACGGTCGGGCTCGTTCGAGACGAGTGAAGAAGCGAAAAAGGCGACGATGTTGTTTTGGGGGGGGCGAGCAGCGGCGACAACGGCTACGGATAGAGACGCAGACGACGCAGCACACGCAACACACAGCACACACGCGCGAAGGAGGGAAAGGGAAGGGGACAAGAGAGCAGAGCAGAGGCAGGTACGGCGCGGGAGGTGCTTAGGAAAATAGGGAAAATTGGAGGCGGCGGCCAACGTGGGAGGACAAGGCAAGGGGACGTGGACATGGGACAGAGAGACATGGGCACAGCCTATCACTGCAGTTGAGGGTACATGGATGGGACTACCCTGAACCTGGACCTCGACCTGGACCTGGACCTTGACCCGGCCGGGTCTGACTGGCGACGGCGCGCGACGGGAAGGTGCAACTGAGAGGAAGAGGGTGTGTGGTGTGGGCTTCTTTCTTTTCTCAGGTGCACCGATACCACGACGCCTTCAGGATGGGACGCTGGTGGGAGGGAGGTGTTTTTTTTTTGGTCTTGTCTCTACATAGTAAGGCAAGGCAAGGTAGGTAGGCACGAAGGGGGGTGCGGCTGCTTGGGGCCTGCCTTCTTCTGGGTCGATAGGGAAAAGGAAAGGTTGGAAAGAGCAAGTGCGATCTGATGCAGCAGCCAGCAAGCAGAGCGCCATCAACAGAAGGAAGGAAGCGCCTGCTGCAGCCTGCCCACCTCACCTCCAGGTCGCGTCTGGAAAGGAAGGTCTTCCTTCCGTCCAGTGTCCCTCGTGGACGGGACTGGAGCAGTCCAGTCCCAGGTTGGAACTGCAAGAGCAGGAGCCACACCCACACCCGCGCGACTTTTCTCTCAATGGGACGGAGGGTTGGCCTTGGGAAGTTGGGGACTTGGAGCCTGCCTTCCCTGTCACCTGCGACCGCTCTGACTGGCTGCGCCAGGTGGGAAGCCAGTGAAGCCACCTCAGTCCGCCCCACGTCTGCGTGGACGGTCGCCCAGAAACTAAAGAAAGTTGATGGTACGTACCGCTGTACCTGACGGCGTACCGGCTACCCCTGTTCACACGAGGAGCAACGGCCACCGGAATTGTCAGAAACAGGCAACGCGCCTGGACCATTCAAAATTGGTGGAGCAGGGGAGATGGCAGGGGTCCAGGGTCCCCCTCCCTCACTCCCCAGTGGTTCCCCCTCGACAGCCATGAATCAAACTCTCTCTCGCACCGCTTTCGCTTGTCGTGTCGTCGTTTGGAGCTGTTGTCGTTTACGGTTTGACTGCTTCGACCGCAGGAGCTCTCCTCTCTGGCTCCTCTGCATTGAGCCGTGGAGATTGTTTCCCCTAGCCATATCCGCACTCACGACCTCCTTTGACTGCATGAACCAGTCCCACGGCTCCTTCACCGTCGTAGGGCTGTCATTCAATGCTTCAATGCTTGACGATGGATCGAATGCCCGGGCATTTACTCCTGAGCCCGTCCCGAGCGTCTGGATCCCGAGCGCCGTAGCGCGTCGAGGAAAACTCGTCTTTTCCACTTGCCGTCTTTACCAAGCTTGCAGCCCGTCTTTCTGAGTTCTCGCTTTCATCTCGCTCATCTCGGATGCTATTTTCATCTGCAAACATACGGCTTCTTGTCTCTCCCGGCTTGTTGACGTCCCATTTCCTGCGTCACAACGCACAAGACAGAGGCCAATGGTGAACGACATAACAGACACAATTTCAGCGATGCTTAGGTCTAGTGCGAGCCAACACCCGTGGCGTTCTTTCGAGGAGGGAGCATGCCTGTTCGCAATGTCAGTGCAATAATGGACAAAACCGGCCCCAATGCCACAAGTCAGCATTCAGGATGAATCAATCGGCAGCCGTCTGTGTATCTACCGACTACAGTACTATCCGTACAGCGGATGAGCACCCGGTAGACGCTCTGTTGATGCTTTTTCGACGCTTAATGGAGCCAGCGTCAACCGAGATCAATGTCTTAAGGAGCTGTCTCCCTTCGCCCTCATCGACAGTACCACATGTCTCACATTTGTTCGTCTCGCGTTGCAACATCTAGCCTGAACACACGCGGCTGCGCCTGCGTGGAGTCCGAACGAATCGCGACGGCAAGCACCCATTCCAGGACCACGAGCAGCGGCCTGCTCTTCGTCTGTTTCTTTGGCTTGTCTCGCAGAATTGCAACATGCAGAGCCACTTCGTCCACGGTTCACATTGCGGTCGAGCAAAGCCATACCGACGGCACGCTCACGGGCCGGTGATTGTCGCCCGCGAAGCCGGTCCAACGCCGGCAAACAGGGAATCGCATCCGCAAGGGAGACAACACGGCACATGCAGCAGCAGCCTCTGCGTCTGCGTCTGCGTCTGCGACGGTGTGGATGTGTGACGAGCGCCTCGCTATGAACTTGCGCAGGTACTAAAGTTGCACTGCAGTTGCAGCAGCGTAGACGCAGACGCAGATGGAGTGACACGAGACAGCTTTCAGCGCTTGAAGCATCGTCATCGACCCCAGAGGCAAGCAGTCAAGTTGTCAGAAACCCTTGAGATCCAGCAAAGAAACATTCTTAAACTGCCGATTGACTTGAGGGGCCAACTGCACACTTGGCAAACGGAAGCAATTGGCGAAATTAAAACTCCTTCTAGGTTGTCTCAGCTTGACGGCAACGAGCTGTGATTGGCGAGACCCAGCATCGCTTCATGATTGCAACAGGGATGACAGGAGAGTGGGGAAGAGAGCTCTCTGACCCCAAAAAGTCCGCTCCTGGCACCTCTCCCAGGCTCGCCTGCACTGGCGACTGGCCCAAAAGACGACGACGGTGTTTGCGAGATGAAGAGAGGCCCCAGCGCTGTTCCGCCCTGCATGGCACGGACAAGATATGACCAAGATATGCCCGTTGCGCCGGATTATCTATCATGGATGAACACGCCGTTTGGATGACCCGCCCAATGACAGCTCGCGTCATTTTGTGGCCCATCATATCTCACAAGACCCGTCTGTCAAGGGAGCACCGCCGAGTCCTTCGTGAGCTGCGTGGGTAATCGGTCTCAAGTGCTGCAGTTGTGCCGCTCATCATTCGAGCCGGATGCCGCTGCCTTCGGCAAAGAGACCGGTCGCGGCCGGACACAACACGGCCAGGAGAAAGCTCTGCATGCCCAGCCAGTGGGATTCAACTCTAACCAGGGCTTAGGTGCGAGAGCGGTGGACACAAATAGAACGCATTGAAGTTTGCCTTACCACGACAGGGAACGACTGCAGTGGTGATTGAACCTTCGATCCTTCCGGCTTCCATCTGGTTTCCAGTCCAATCAGCTATTCGCAAATTGACTTCGCGGACAAGTGTATCTCACGTCAGCCTCTCGGAGCTTAAGATCTCAACTTCGATCCAGCCGTCATTAGATGTGTTTCTAACGAAAATCCGAGGCCAAATAAAGGTACCGAATTCGCCTCCCGTTGGCGACGTTGAGCGACAGCATCGCATCAAAGGTGCTACAGCTTCGACCTCCTTTGTGGTCTTGAGACACTGGTGGCATGCTGCTCGAGTTGTGGAGGGCTGAAGCATCTGAGCGTGCATGCCGCCGTTGAGCGGCTGGCTGCCATCAAGACTCGTCCGCCACCCGCAAGTTTTCAATCCGAGTGATTTCAAGCAATTGCTTTCTTATTCTTCAACAACAACAACGTGGCAAGCCTCCACTGGCTTGAGCAAGTTCGCCTTCTTCTACTTCACCATGGAGTCGCACCATCTAAACAAAGAAGACAACAAAGGACTTCTCACTTGAGACCGTTGCCCACCCCACTACCACGCTCAACGGCCGCCGGAGCCGCTGCTTGTATCCCAAATGTACTCGCTACTCGGCCCCACTACACTCAGTCACGAGAAACAGACATCCACCACGAGAACGGGGTTCAAAAACGGCCGGAAGTCTTCGGTAGTTGTGAGTGGAGCGGCCTTTTCAGAAACAGCGGCGGGAAGAGACAGTCTTTCATGGAGGCGGCGTCGCCGTTGAATTGCCATTCATGCAGCGGCTCGGTAGTGCAGTACGTTCCATCAAGAGGTTGCGTATACAGAATGTGGGCGAAAAATTACGGGCTCGTAACTTTATGCGAATTGAAAACGCGCATGATTCAGCCTCCAATTTGTTTCCGGGGGTAATTGCCCTCGGCTGGGTGCGGTCCTCACGCCTGCACTTGATTGGCTCTCCTTTTCAACGTTACTCCTTTGTCGCCATCTTCAACGGTAACTTCAAGACTTGCGGCTGGACGACCAAAATAAAGGTTTGATAGCGAGAAGTTTCATCTTCTTTGCACTGTCGTTGGATATTGCTAAGCTGATATCCATCAGCCCTTAGCG